AGGTCATTGTAGTGCCCCAGGATGATTGTCACGAACTTGGATTATCAAAGTGCAAGAAACACACACTACTAGATATTTCCAGAACATCTTGAGAAACCAATTAGGTTTAATGTAAAACTAGAGATTCACTTAACCTTAAAAAACCTAAGAAATGAAATGAGATACATCCCTCTTTGGTAAAACTTCCACCTAAATCAATAGGAGCATGTCTTTAAGGGCATCAAGAGTCTGCCGGCTTGTAGTAAATGAGAAAATCCCACTGACCTCTGACCAATAACATCACGGAAGTCAGGTGTTCCAGTCTGAAAGACCCCCTTTCGCTCTTCTGAATGACACAGGTATATGTGCCATTGTCTGACAGGCGCAGAGCCAGGATCACAATGGAGAGGTTATTGGTGATGTCGGTGAAGGTGCGGTTCTCATATTTGGGCCACACTTGCACTTTTCCAGACATGACAGCCAGCACCATTTCTCGATCCTTTTGCCAGTAGATGCGAACGCTCGTCAGTTCATCAGTGGAGATGTTGTACTCGCAGGATAGGATTGCTATTTCTCTCACGGTCTTGGTTACCTGGATGATGCCTAAGGAGAGGCAAGCAGAACAAGATTTCATATTTATTAAACAAAGATTCCTGCACAAACAGGAATTCAGACTTGGCAGTAATAGAACTCAGGGTATTGTATCTAGTGACTAAGCATGATCAGAGAGCTACGTTTGTTTTGATTTTTTGGTCCCTAGCACTTTTTTTTCCCTTCTTTTTTAATTGTGGTTAAGAAAACCATAAAATTTGCCATTTTAATCATTTTTTCGTGTACGGTTCATTAGTGTTAAGTATATTTACATTGTTGTGAAACAGATCTCTGGAACATTTTTGTCTTGCAAATCTAGAACTCTGTACACATTAAACAACCCCTTTCTCCCTCCCCACAGCCCCACACCAATCAACTTTCTGTTTATAGGAATTTGACTACTTTAGATATCACATAGAAGTGGAATCATATAATCTTTGTCCTTTTCTGACTGGCTTATTTCACTTAGCATAATGTCCTCAAGGTCCAGCCATGTTTTCGCATGTGCCACAATCTCCTTCCTTTTTAAGGAATGACAATGATGATATGAATAATATATTTATTGTATGTGGAGTATACCACATTTTCTTTATCTGTGGATAGACAGTAAGGGAGAGGTTCCACTAGTCCCATAAGAGAGAGGACTTTAGGAGCCCTAGCATATGAATGTCAACTATGGATTGACAAATGCTCAGCCCAGGTGGATGGAAGTCACAATTAAGGAATGTGAGATCTTGAAGGGACTTCCATGATCATTCATTTTGGTGGTCATATTTTACAGATGCGGAAACTAAACCCAGGAAAGGAAACTACCCCAGTTTCATACTTTCTGGCCCAGGCTTTCCAGCCCATTCTCCTTCTTTAATGGTTTCCCCAATTTTAGGCCCCAGTTCCAGCATACGTAAGCCAACCACTGCCTGCACCCCAGCCCAGCCCCACCACTGAGTTCTTTTGCTTTGAAAAACAGAGTCCTTTTCCTTCCAGGCCTGATAGACTCCATGACTTCAGGCTGAAATGACTCACCTCATCCCCACCAGACAAGGCTCGGTTATACCTCTGGACCATTTCTGCCCTCTTCAGCTATCCTAAATGGATATATATCTGTCTTAACTCTCTTGGTTATCTGCAATCACATGACCTACAGCCTAGTTTTGCTAGAGGGCCCCCATTTAAAACATTCTGCCCATTTTCCCATCAGTATATCCCAGCAATACCAACATTTCAGCATCCAAACTGCATCTCTTTGTTAGCTCCTAAGCACGCATCAGTAGCACCAAAATCCCTTGTCAGACAATAGTTTCTGATTTTTTGGTTCAGAAGACATAGTCACTCTTCCCATGCTGTGCTTGACCTAAAAGCAGAGTCGTTCTAAGCCCCAAGCTCTTTCACAACTGCCGTCTCCCCAGGCCACCCAATGCTACCATGTCGTGTCCTCCCCTCCCCGTATTCCCTGGAGCCACACAGAGCCCTTGGGGGGGCCCATGTCTAGGGATCTCACTTCCAGACGCTTTCTCTTTTTGGACAGCAGGACTGTGGGGCACCAGCACCCCTCCATCTCACCAGCCATTCTTCAGGCCTCCTTCAGGCTGGATGTGGCCCCACCACAGCATTTAGGAAGAAAGTTTTGTGATGGTAGGCATTTTCCTAGCAATGTGAGGTGACTCAGAATGATCGAAGGCACCCCTTGTGGCAATTGTGCTGAACATTGCCTGTCCCAGCTTTAGGGAATATAATTGAAAAGAGGGAAGAAATAAAAATAAATACTTGAGGGGAGCATATAGTAGCTAAATACCCCAAGTCCTCTTTAAAAAGAGAAACAATGAAAGCAAAGTGATATATAGAAGGAGCATGGACTACGTACGGCTTCCTACTGACACGGTTTCTAGTCCCAGCTCAGCCACTTACTGGTTAATCAGTCTCTTCCTCTATAAAAAGGGTATGATCCTGTCTCTGAGGATCATTGTAAAATTAAATTCAACTTACTGATATAAATAGCAGAGTCCCTGGTCCATAGTGGGTCTTCTGCTAGCACTTCCTTTCCTCTGTCTTCCTCCCCTCCCCTTCAGCTTCTGCCCTCTGGTCCCCTTCATGTCACTCAGGGGTTATGTCAGATACCTGACAGGGGTTATGTCTGGTCTTGCTTTGGGCCAGACAGACATGATGACAGAAAGCAGCTTACTCAACTGGGGTCCTAAATAACAGGGTTTTCCCCCCACCAATCTGTTTGTTCCCACCCAAAAAGAATCCAGGATTTCTAACTGATTTTGACATATGGTGACATTGGAGAAATCTTAACTGAAAATGAGCTAGTTTCCATGATGGTTCTTAAGGAGTTTTTGTCCAGCCATCTGAGGAGAAGCGTGGGTGTCTCTCTAAAGGTCAGTGACACGCCATCAATGGGCTTTTCAGTATTCCTATGTGAGGTCCCCTCACTAGAGGCTCACGCTGAGGAAGAACCAGACTGAAAAGAGGAACCAACCATCTTCTGGGCATTTTGGAAATTTCCTCCAGGACTCGGCTTTCCTACTCAGGGACTCTGCTACACGCAGACTATTACAGGAAAACAGTTGAAAGGTCTCCGAGGGGTTTTGTCTGCTTTGGTGGCTCTGGAAGGGAGAGTTAGGGCCTTGGAATCTCAGCGTTACTGCCTAAAACCTAGTGGAATCGCAAGCTTGCTTCCCCATTTTACAAATGCGCATAGCAACACCTACCTCACAAAGTGGGGTGAGAATTCGAGTGAGATGACACAAGTAAAACCCTACATAGTACCGGCCCATGACAGGTACCTTCTCCAGACGTCCACGTGGCTCAGGCCCTCACCTCCGTTGGGTCTCTGCTCTGGTGTCCCTTGTCAGAGAGGTCTTCTCTGACTCCATTCTCTTGTTGTTGTTTTTTTTATTCTTTGTTTTCTCTCTTTTTTTAAAATTCTTTTAATTTTACTTTTTTATGTTATCGAAGGCATATTGGCTTTCAACATTGTGTCTTTTTCGGGTGTACATTATTGTATTTCAGTTTCAGTCTAGATTGCATCGTATTCACCACCAATAGTCTAGTTTTTATCTGTCACCACACATATGTGCCCCTTTACCCTTTTCACCCTATCCCTACCCCCTTCCCCTCTGGTAACCACTAGTCTGTTCTCCTTATCTATGTGTTTGTTTGTTTATCTTCCACATATGAGTGAAATCATAGGGTATTTGTCTTTCTCTATCTGACTTATTTCTCTTAGCATAATACCCTCAAGGTCCCTCCGTGTTGTCGCAAATGGCAGAATTTTATCTTTTTTAATGGCTGAGTAGTATTCCATTGTATACATATACCACATATTCATTATCCATTCATCCACATCTTGGCTATTGTGAACAATGCTGCACTGAATATAGGAGTGCATAAATCTTTTTGAATTGTTGATTTCATATTCTTTGGATAAATACCCAGTGGTGGAATAGCTGGATCATATGGTATTTCTATTTTTAATTTTTTGAGAAATCTCCATACTGTTTTCCATAGCAGCTGCACCAGTTTGCATTCCCATTGGCAGTGTACAATGGTTCCTTTTCCTCCACAACCTCTCCAATATTTGTTAATTCTTGTCTTGTTAATCATAGCTATTCTGACGGGTGTGAGCTGATAATCTCATTTTAGTTTTGATTTGCGTTTCCCTAATGATTAGTAATGTTGAACATCTTTTCATGTGCCTGTTGGCCATCTGTATATCTTCTTTGGAAAAATGTCTGTTCATATCCTCTGCCCATTTTTTGATTGGGTTGTTTGTTTTTTTGTTGTTGAGTTGTATGAGTTCTTTATCTGCTTAAATCTGCTGAAAGCCTAATGGGGGTTCCTTTGTAGGTTATTTTCTTCTGCCTTGCTGCCTTTAATATTTTTTTTCTTTGTCATTGACTTTTGATAGTTTTAATATTATATGCCTTGGAGAAGGTCTTTTTGCATTGCTGTAATTAGGAATTCTATTAGCTTCATGTACTTGTATAGCCAGTTCCTTACCCAGGTTTGGGAAGTTCTCAGCTGTTATTTCTTTGCATTAGCTCTCTGATCCTTTCTTCCTCCATTCTCCTTCTGGGATACCTATAATCCTTATGTTGCTTTTCCTAATTGAATCAGACATTTCTTGAAGAATTTCCTTTTTAAAAAATCTTAGTTCTCTCTCCTCTTCCACCTGGATCATTTCTAGGTTTCTATCTTTGAGCTCACTCATTCTCTCCTCCATAAAGTCTGCTCTATTTTTTATGCTCTCCACATTACTTTTTAATCACATTAATTGTGTTCTTCATGTCCAGAATTTGTTTGGTTTTTTTTAGAGCTTCAATCTCTTTGGTGAAGTATTCCTTCTGTTCATTAATTTTATTCCTAAGCTTATTGAACTTTCTGAGTTTTCTTGTAACTAGCTGAGTTTCTCTTTCTTTTTTTTTTTTTTAAGCATGAATGCAGTCCCCCAAAGTCGCAAAGTATGCAGTCAGGTTTCCCACATTTGGGGGAAAGAAAGAGGTCACACATCTGGAATGCAATGAATAACATTGCCCTGGGAAAACAACCTTCATGATCATGTTGTCTCCTCTGCCAGGAAAGGATCATTGAGTTCTTTACGACAGCTAGTTTGAATTCTCTGCCAGTCAGATTGTTATCTTCTGTGACTTCAAGTTTGGTTTCTGGAAAGCTGTCACTCTCCTTCTGTTCTGCAGTCTTATTGTAGTTCTTCATGCTGTTTGAGGAATTGATCCTCTGCCTGTGCATTTGTGGTAGGAACCACCTGTCTTATCTGGGTGCAGCTTTGGTTACTTTGGTTCTGAACTGCTTCTGGTTGTAGCTGAGAGCCTACACTTTTCATCATCCACTGCCTCTGCCAGAGGTGTGATCAGTGCCCTCCTTGTGCTGCTCATGCCGTGCTGCTTATGATGTTGCTGCAGTCTCAGCTGTCATCACTGGGGTTACCAGGCTGTGAGCACTTCTGCTGCTTCTGGGGTCACCTGGGTCTCAGGTTGCCCCACTCGCTCTCCACAGACTCAGGTGTTGCTGCCCTGTGCTCTACCTGTGCTGCTGCTCCTGAGTTATCTGGGGGTGCAGGCAGCACCACTGCCAGGGTCACTCGTTCACATGTGTCACTGTTGCTGTCGGGGGCCCAAGTTCTTGCATGCAGCCCCACAGTTGGTAGAGCTGGTGTCGGAGGTGCCACAACCAGGGGCTGGGTCTCGGGCACTGCTGTGGTTCCTGAAGCCTCAGGTCACAGGTGCCACCTGCCACTGCAGGAGGAGGAGAAGGGGCTAAGCTGCAAGTGTTGTTGCTGGCCCTGCAGTTTCTGGTCACTGCCGTGTGCCAGTGTGCTTTTTGAGACCTCAGGTCAGGGCACCCTGCTTCTGCTGGTGAAATCCATGTATTGGTTGTTGTCCCCACTGTTGGAGAGACCAGTACCACTGCCAGGAGAAGGGTCACCAGCACTCTTCTGTGTCCTGAAGCCTCAGGACCTGTGCACACCCAGCACTACTGGCAGGAGCAGGGGCCGCAGCTTCTGGTTGCCAGCGCTGGCATGTGCACACTGATGCTCTGCTCTGGAACCTCGGATCAGGGGCCTCCACCCCTGCTGGGGAAATTCATGCCGTCAATGTAGTCCCCACTGCTGAAAAGGCTGGCACCACTGCCAAGGGGTGGGAACGGGGTGAGTAGCTAGCCTCGCTGTGTCCTGGAGCCTCAGGACATGTGCACTGACCACCACCGTTGGGGGTGGGACAGAGTCCAAGCCACGAGTGCTGTGTTTGCCCTTGAGGCCTATGGTCACTGGCATGTGTGCCAGTGTGCAGATCTGCATTTTGGGTCACCTCTGGCAGGTGAGAGGGAAGGGGCTGCTCCCCTATTTCTACTGCCTCCCGGAGGTCCAGCCCGCCCACCTTCAGATGGATAGGTGAATGGATCACTCAGACGTTCTGGTGTGCTGTGCAGGGAGTCCTTTGTTGGTCACTGGATGTCTGACTGGTTGTTACTTAGAGGAGAGACCAAAGGGAACTCTGCCATGATGCTGACGTCACTTGACTCCATCCTCTCTGGCCCCATCCATCCTGCCACTCTTCAGTCCTTTTCCGTGACTTATTTCTCTTCCAGCTCGTCTCCAGCTGATACATATTTGCATGTGTAGTTACTTTGGGGGCCATGAGAATGGAGCTTTATCTGTTTTGTTTGTTGCCATATCTGCAGAATACAGAACAGGGCCTGGCCCATAGTAGGTGCTCAATAAATATTTGCTGACTGCATGGCTAGGTATTAGGCGAGGAGATCTTGTTCTACACGCTGCATATTAGAATTATAACCTCGATCAAGTTGTTTAACCACCTTGGGCCTCAGGTATAATTTCTGCAAAATGGGCATAATACTATCTTCCCTACTAACTTCACATTAAGTATCATGTGGATTGTATGACACCTAGATATAAAAGTGCTTTAACTGTCAAATGCTGAACAGGTTTTTTAAACAGGGCCCTTTGTCTCAGGCACAGCACCAGGTTTGGTGAATCATGCTGGGGGCGGCGGGGGGTGGGGGGGTGGCTGCAGAATCACCATGGTAACTGGCTGACTCTTGGACTGAGTCAAGCGCCCACAGCTGGCGTGGGGGGCCCCCGGAGCCTCCTCCACCCAGCAGCAGTCCGTAGACACAGGGGCTGTGAGAGGAGAGGGGGAGGGAAGGCAGAAACGGAAGTAGACTCTGCTCCTCTCTCAAATGTGTGTAAGCTGCCCCACCAGCACAGCAACGGCCCCCAGCCCCTGTCTTCCCTGACCCCTCTGCCAGCTTCCTGCCCTGACCACTTCAACTCTCAGCTGCTAACCCCAGGAGAGGAAGCTTCCTGCCAACAAGTATAGAGGCCGCTACTTTCAGACAAACAAGGCACCTCGCAAAAACCCACTCTACCGTGGAATATTATTCAGCCAAAGAAGGAATGAAGTACTGATACTTGCTACAACATGGAGGAACCCTAAAACGTTACGCTAAGTGGAAGAAGACAAAGGCCACCTACTGTATGACTCCTTTTATAAGAAAGGTCCAGAATAGGCAAATTCATAGAGAAAGTAGGTCAATGGTCACCAGGAGAAGGTGCAGTGGGAAAGGGGAAGTGACCGCTGATGGGGATGGAGTTTCTTTTGAGAGTGATGGAAACATGCTGAAATTAGATAGTGGTGCTGGTTTTACAGCATTGTGAATACACTAAAAACCACCAGATTATACATTTTAAAATGGTTAATTTTACATCATTGCCAAAAAATGCAGGAAAATTGGGGGATCTAATGATAAATATAATAAAATTTAAAGTATAGTTAAAAAAAAAAAAAAAGAACCCAATCTAGGAAGCCACGGGTCTCCGCTAATGCCTCCAAACTGGAGGGAGGCAGCGTGGACACAGCGGCCTGGCCCTCGTGCCCTTCCACGGAGCTGAACGTCAGCAGTGGTCAGTGGGGCTGCACCACCACTTCTCCTAATGGAGAAAGAATCCACTGAGCCCAGCAACTTCAGTCACCACGTGCTGTGGTGCACATTCTCTCACTGAGGGCTTAAGTATGCTTTTTAAATAGATGTTTTCCCTGACTCAGAAAGAAACATTAAATTTAGAAAGAATAGAAAATACAGAAAGGCATGAAAGTCCCCTATAATCCCACCGCCTGGAGATATACTGTTAATGGTCTGTATATGTCTTTCCAATGGAAGGGCGCTTTTTGAACGCTTCTAAGTGCTTCTGACTAAGTGAACCACCACCTGTGGGGCCTGTGTCAGCCCTGGGCTGGGTGCTGGGCAAGAAGGAGGAGAAGAGGCATCTCCTCTCCAGCAGCTGACAGATTTGAGACTTGTCACCTGCTTTTTGCCCTGCTCCCAACTTTCTCTCCTCTTTAGGCCCAGTGTTTATACTCTGTATAAATCTGATCCTTACTTTGGTGTGTGCCTCTAAACAGGATTTACATCTTTAAAATGTTCAGGGACTTGAACAGCCAATATCAGGGTAGTCACAGCAAGAACTGCGGCTCGTGAGACGCCCTGGCCAGCAGCACTGGGACGCACATGGCGGGGGGGTGAGGCTCTGTTTACGGTGGCACTCTGAGGGCTCTCTTTTCCTCTAGCTCAGTGTTCCTCATGCTGTGGACTCACAGGCCAGTACCTTTCCTGGGTGCCCGGCCCGTTCCACCCAAAGGCCTCTCCCCTCCCCTTAGAACTGGGTCTCCCTGAAAGGCCCCAGCTCTGAGGAACAGATGCTGACATGAGGCCCTGTTAGACCCTCTGCCCTACAACCACCGATTTCTGGAGTACATGAGTCCAGGGTTTCTGCCTCCACAGACCGAAATGGAAGTGGAGAGGGGCCCAGCTGGTCCTACCCTGTGCAGAAAAGAGGGGTCACTTGTCCTGGACAGCAAGGGCTGGGGATGGGTGGACGTGACCCAGGGCAGGAGAGGAGGGTATATGTGACAAATCCCCGGCCCTGGAACAAAGTCCTCCGTAATCATATTTCACTCTCTTCACCCAGTCTTGTCTCCCACAGGTCACGCACAACTCACATCTACCCTCCCATCTGGCAAATCCCCACAATTCTACATCACACACACTCTCTGGTCCATCCATCTCCCTCCGACTCCATTCTCTTCGTCAAAGCTATCATCAGGTACTGTAAGCTATGAAAACAGCCTCCTGATGGGTTTGCACAATCACTCTGGCTGCCCTACGAGCCATTCTTTATGCTTCAGCAACACTGGTTTTTAAAATGTCATTTAGGGCTTTACTACTCAAACTAAAGGTCTGTGGACCAGTAGCATCGGCATCACCTGGGTGCATGTTTGAAATGCGGAATCTCAGGCCCCACCCCAGACCCACCTAAGCAGAAACTGCATTTTTTAAAATACGTACACTTTGTTTTTTAGGGCAGTTTCAGGTTCACAGCAAAATGAAGGGAAAGTACAGAGAATACCCATATACCCCCTGCCCTCTCCACCACCAGCCTCCCCCACCACCAAGATCCCCCAGCAGATGTGGCACAATTTTGACAATCAATGAACCTACATTGACACATCATTATCACCCGAAGTCCACTGTTTACATTAGGGATCACTCTTGGCACTGTACATTCTATGGGTTTAGACAAATGTATAATGACATGAATCCATATTCTAGTAGCATACAGAGTATTTTCATTGCCCTAAAAATCCCCTAGAACTGACATTTGAACAAGGCCCCCAGGCAATTGGCATGCATAATTAAAGTGTGAGCAACTCTGGTACAGACCATGTCCCTCCCCTGCTTAAAACCCTTCCGTGGCTTCCCAGTGCCCCCAAATAACATTTAGGTTCCTGACAGTGGCCTTTAAGCCCCTGGTGTCTGGTTCCTGCCTCCCTCGTGACCCCACACTGGCCTTCTGCACTTCCTTGCTCCTCTCTCTCCCTCACAGGCTGCTCCTTCCGCCATCACCCAGCTTACTCTCACCACTCTCCCCTCTGGCAGGGAAAGACAGTGTTTGTTGGTGATATATTCATTTGAGTAATTATTTGATTAATTTTCATCTTCTTCCTAATGACCCTAAATTCCATGAAGCCAAAAGCCACATCGATTTT